AATGAAGGGACCCTGGGAAAAACCCTCCATTAACAACAGTAAGAAATAGAAAAGGTTTGCTCCCCGGACTAAACATGGGGGGGTGAGCCCCCGAGTCTCTGCACTGGTTGATTAAATTTCTTGTGACAATGCTATGTTCGTTTCATTGCTTGTAAATCTCAAAGAGGAGATATGATGCATCGATGGCAACAAGACCCTTACGTAATATCATGACAATATAGAATATTTGTGTATATCACAGTTAATTATCTATTATCATTCTCAATCATCACAAGGAATGTAAATTGTAGGACATCTTAATACGTAGAAATGTCTGTGCTTTCGTAGAAATGATGTATTAAGAGACTGAAGAGATTTGAGTAGTAAATAACTATGAACCTTTCCAATTTCAAGGAAAATCCCAAATCACACATGTCTGATTTATAGCGTGAAAAGTCCTCTTTTCACTGAAGAGAGTCGGAGCTACGTAAATTAGCTCCTGTAAACGCTCCGATTGACAGAAACCAGAACAATTAGCCAAATAGACCTCTTATCAATCATTCAATTCCAAGATGCAGAAGTTAAAAGACAAACTTCCAGGCATAGAAGAATTTTAAGTTAAAATTAAATAATTCGCTGATACTTAATCTATTTACTAATTATTTTGTAATTATTTGGCTAAAGTACCATACGTAAATAATATATTTTACAGAAGAACTTGACTTCTAGGCATGAATAGATAGGTGAATGAATAGAAATTTGAATAGAAAATATACATGTCGATGTCTCCATTTCCATTTTATCTAACTAAAAGAAGCCAATGTTTTTATATCATCAAAAAGAAAAGCCAGAATAATGAAAACATGTCTACGGTGGTTAAGAGCCTTTGCTTTCATGTGCAGTTTCTAGTAGAAAGCAGTTCAGTTAGGTTTGGTCAGAATCTAACGCAACGAGGGCAGCAAGCTTTACATGCAAGCAAAAACTAAGGCTGCCCGTATGGAAAATGAATCTTGGGTGATTAAACACCAATAGATGTTTGAGAAGGCCAGTTTGAATATTAGCTAAGAATATATTGGACACTGACAAAATGTTTACGCTGCGTTGTTGTTTTAATACTGAAATCATGGACTGTCTTATTCAATACATTGTGTAAAGCCTAAACATGCTTCTCCTGTTTTCATGTTTACTATACAGTGTAAGTTTTAAAGAAGGTCGCACCTCAGCAGAGGTGATTTTAAAAATATCGTCTATTCACTACAGAGATAATTGTAACAAATAATGGTCGAAAAAAATGTACAGCGAATTCCCTAAATACTAGGCTAGGCCCTTTATATTTTTGGTGACTTGGAAAGTGATGACTAGTGATAATGACTTATGATGAAACAGGCAAAGGTGGGAACATGGCAGCCATCAACAAGCTACAATATATCATTCGGTTCTATCTGCTACGCCTACCCCGTGAAACGTACCGCTAGATACATTACAGCAAGTCAAATGACTGACAATCTATCGCAATTTCATAGATATGATTTTATATCATCCAGGCATTTACCATTACCCAAATTGAAACCCATATTGAATAACGGTGCCTGGCAACGCGTCACAAGTTATATGGCAGCAGAACTTCTTGCTGTAGGTACACATATCTTATTACACTTTCATAGCATAATAATTAAATTCAACTCTGTCCTGAACGTAAGATTTCATGCCTGTGATATTCATAAAATTATTGGAAAGTGAAGATCAAACACTTACATCTGACGCCACCCACAATTTCGTAAATTCTTCAGAGGTTCAGTCCACAACAAAGCTGCAAGGGTCTGTATTGAAGATAGGCTTGTGACACATTCCAGGGTTCAGTTCCATTGAACACCTTAACGTGGCCTCAAAAATATCTACCTTAAATGGATTATGTTTGGAGCATTAAAGATAGGTAATTGTTCATGGGGTTTTCGCCATTTCAAAGACCTTTGCTAAGTAACCACAAACAAGAACAAAGCCAGCTCGAATTCACTACGCTCATGGACTTAAATTCATGTGAAAAAGATTAACATCTAAAAATATCATTGGGCCTAATTACAAACTGGATAAAGGATAGACGTATATGAACCATGAAAATTGTCAGTGATGATGCCTAAGAATTTAAAATTGAAATATTTACTGTAAACCGCAGTGAGGTAATGAAATGGGAAGGCGGGAATGACGACAAACGATCACGACTCTGAGCCAAAACTAACCGTTTTTCGGATATCCAGTTATATGAAATTGGAGACGTTATTCGTAAAATTGTAAATAATATCAGGATAAACTGTGGTTTTGATCCAATCTAGGAATGAAATATACTGTAAGCTGAAGATCTATTTAACATTTCCAGTAAATTGCCTTTCAACACCTCTTTGCCGTGACCCTGAACGCCGAAAGATAGTAGCCTCGAATAGATATTGGTCATTCTCTTTGCCACATATTTAGATATCTTATACCAATGTACAGTCGAATTATAATAATTTGACCACATGTCAATGACAAGCGATTAGGTTTATATTTGATAAGTCAAATTTGGATAGTTCGAAGAAATTTTGTTTTAACTGAAAGTTATCGGACATTGGCTCTATAAGAAAGTTACCGGACATTGGCTCTATATAAAAGTTATCGGACATTGCCTCTATAAGAAAGTCATCGGACATTGCCTCTATAAGAAAGTTACCGGACTTTGGCTCTAAAAGAACATTATCGGACATTGCCTCTACAAGAAAGTTATCGGACATTGCCTCTATAAGAAAGTTACCGGACATTGGCTCTACAAGAAAGTTATCGGACATTGCCTCTATAAGAAAGTTTTCGGATATTTATGGTAATACAGAACTCAAACATCTACTCATTGCATTTAGCTTCCTCACTGTAATTCACAAACGCATTTCTAATAGCTTTACTGTAAAAACGATTACTAGAGCTAATGTGACTGTAAGAACTGCTACACAAGGCTATTGTATTTTAGCTCCAAGGTTCTGCTCTGTTACACTGCCTTTTTCGTTCCCCTAATGAGATTTATGTTGAATTACTCCAGCAAAAAGGTTTACTGTCAGCCAAGGTGGGTTTCCACATACCGCACTCCAGTCGCGCGGCTGAGCCAACGCACTTCTGAGAATACGGTAGGTTTATTTACGCTTTCTCGCGCGGTCAATGCGATCGTAATGGAAATTGGCTTTTGGACATTGTGGATCTAGGTATAGTAAAAACGACAGGGGTTGTCGATTAAATATTGACCCCCTTCTAAGTGCAGATGGTACCTAAGAAAATAGGGACGAAAGACTGATAGATTTCCTTTGATGCTTTTTAGAATGTGACCTTTGGAAGATCAAACCTTTTCTGGTTCACATTGGTGACATTACATCAATGCATAAAAGTCGAAAAAACATTTTTAGAAGGGCAAGCAGTACAGGAATCCGCTCTCCAAGGATCAAAAAAGGAAATAAAGCATTTCTCATCGCCTGTTACGTCACATACTGGTAGCTGAATACCGAAAAGGGTTTCATGCATTTGATTGTAAATACTGCATATATCTTGCAAAAAAGGGGGCCATAGATTGGGAAGATTTAAGAGGGCCAAAGATGGGGGAGAATTATCGCTTGGAACTAACTATCTCCATTTGTGTACTGTGTTTCAACTACAAACGCCAGTTGGACCACTTTTAATCTCTTTTCTGCACGAGATGAACCTAGCTAAAAATCATTCACAAGTCTGACGTCAAACCTATTGTTGCATCACAACAGTGAAATTTTATATTGGAGAAAGGTTGGATATAAGACGAAAATCACCAATGACGTCTTCCATTGCAAATGCAACATCAGGTTACAGAAGATTCATTAAGAAAATCCTCTTTTTCATCGGTACCAAAAAAGGATCAAGTTCAGATGACAGACTCATCCTATACGGTTAAACAGGGCATTTGAAAGAAATTGGATAACAATCATTGGCATATTCAAACATTCAAGCGAATAAATCTGGATAATACTTGGGCATTCAAGTCTTAATTTCAAACCAAAACAGCTTTAGAAGACGGCAGTTGTTGGGGTTGGAAATAATGCAGCCCAAGAACCAGAGACACGCGACTAAAGGATGGATAAATTTTCCGAGGAATGTTTGCAAACCACATGAAAGAACAACTAAAGAAGCAGAGAGTACAGGAAAGTCGACAGGATTATTACAAAGTAGCAGCGATTTTCATCCATATCGGCGATTGAATAAAGAAGCTACGGGCATAGTCAAAATCCAACTGGTTGCACTCTCAAAAAAAATCTTACCGAAGATTTCTCCTTGTGTTTCCCAAGGATCTTCGCATGGATCAAAAACGCGTTACTTTCTACCTAAATGCCTTAGAATATTATGTTCGGTTGACCTCTGCTTTGATTTCAAAACTTTGCAGCACTATAACAAACTTTCTTTGCTCTTTGATTTTTTCGCAAAGTTTTCTAGGATTTCACGTTACCTTAGGAAGAACCAACTTGCCTTTTCAAATTGTACCAAGCCGCTAGTGGAAAAACATTTAGGCTTGAGCGAAGTCTTTCTCAGCCAAAAAAGCAAAAAGGAGCAACGAAAAGGCAGCAGAGATAAAACTGTACAAAACGCTTAGAAAGAAAGTCTGAGTAAAAAACTGGTTTTCCTTATCAAGAAAAAGTTTAGAAGAGCTCAGAATCTCAATTGGAAGGTTAATAAGATGAGAAATTAATGGGAACTCTCATTTGAGAAAACTTGTCATGAAGACTTTAATTTAACTCTCGCGTCACTATCAACGTCAGCATACAGCCTGGCCTATTAAATGTCTGTAGTGCTACATGTAATTTGTCACCAAATAGGTATCGCGAAAAAACCGTCTAAAGAAAGAAGAATGTTCGATAGCACATGGCACAATGTTCTTCACACAGAACCACCTGTATCTAATTTCCACCCTGGTGCACCCGAGCAGAGTTGAATCTGACACTTTGCAATCAAAAACTAGATTGAAAGCTACATAGAGTACGATAGAGGGAAAATATTTTTCAAAGTTATATTTCTTATCTACAAATTTATAACAAAAACTGCTAAATTTAAGCCAAAAAACATTCGCACAAAATACCATAGATTTTACCTTGTTAATTGTGCTTTTATTGTAATTCCCGTATCTTTAAAAGTGTCTTTTATCAATTCACGAACTTTCATCCAGTCCAGACCATCTACACCTGAGCCAAGACGACCCATACAAACTTCATCTACTCCATTGTTTTCAATGTGCTCTTTGGCATCTTGCAAAGCTAACTTGAGATACTTGTAGCAACCTCTGTCCCACCATCTTTCTCTTGTTACCTTGAAAAATAGTTAAATTTTGATGCCATTACAACTTCGAAATTAATGATGAACAAATGCAGAAATGAATCAATGTTGCAATATTGCCATCCTGCATTCATTCTTACAAGCGAAACTGAAAACTTGAAAGCGTCACTAACATAAAAAATCTTCTTATGTCTTTCTCTGTTCCCTTTCTTTTTTATTTTGCATTAGATGAATATTAATAATATGACTTTATTAAGATTATATATAAGTAGGTTTTGAATTTGTTTTTACTTTCACAGGGGCCATTACATTACAAGTATTTAAAGACCGAAATGTACCCCTGAAAAAAGGAAGCTTAAAATGAAACCAAATGATATCAAATGGTCAAAAGATACCAATTAAACAATCAAAAACAGAACAAATCCACATAAAGGATACAAGGAAGATGCTTTCAAGTTCAGAACATTAGTTTTTGTTTCCTGTATTTCATTATGAAGTGAATGCTTCCATAAGCAATACATGTACACAATCTTATGTATGTACATTTTATAAATAATGGAATTAGACAAGTTACTTGGTTTAAGCTCAAAATTATAATTGGCTTAAAATAAGATCACAAAACTAAAGCATTCTGTGCTAAAGTGCTATTGTTTTTGTATCTCTGTTTTTGACAGTCTGTCGCTGACCACTAAAAGCAAAGACAGTCAAAAGGAAAATAATTTGGGGGACCCTTTGGTGAAAAAACACTGTTTATTCAGACATAAAATCTAAAATATTCAAAGATCTTATGAAACTGTAAAGTTCCAAACCTTACCAAGTAATAAATATAACAGTTTTTGTAAGGAACCACAGCAGCTTTTCCTGGAGGTGTACCTATTGAAAAAATCAGAAATTGTCTCAATAGATATCAAACAATTTCTACAAGAAAATGGGGAAAAGTCTCACCTACTCTGTCAACAAAAGGGAAATTAATTAGCAATGTAATTAATTATCAGTAGATTTCATGGACTGGTAAGATATCAAATGAGCGAGTACTCACAATTGCTAATCTGAAGCGAAAATTAATACAGACCATCAAAAACAGAAAAATGACATTTTTGGGACATGTCATGAGGAGAAAAGGCATAGAGAACCTATCGCTAACAGGAAAAGTAGAAGGTAAAAGAGCAAGAGGCAGACAGAGAATGACGTATTTGAGCAACATCAAAGAATAGACTAACAGGACAAATGGAAATGAACTCATTCAAGCATGTCAAGATAGAGAAATTTGGAGGAGCATGATCGTCAACGCCTTAGCGCATGACACATAAAGAAGAAGACTAAAATGGCAAAAAGGACAGAAACAGACAAGCTTTTTATATAGAGTCAATTTTCAGTAGGGTAACACACCTCTATAATTGGCAGAGAATGGCAAGAAAATGTCAAATCAACAGAAAAAATCCCACCCAAACATAAATTGTTTGGTGGCGCAGAATATAAAAATGGCTTTGACAAGATTCAAACCCTTCAAAACATAAATAAGCTTTTACTCTGTCACTCTTCAGAGTATAACTTTTACTGGTGATATTTTCAATAGGCAAGTGGCACTGTTCCGCAACCTTTAGTCATGTGCTAAAATTGTGTTTTGCATAAGCAAATTTTGATCCGCAGCTAGGTATAGATTTTTCCTTGCTAAGATTTTTCGGCCAATATTCTGACATTTTAAACTCTTAACAGTATCAGATTAGAAGTTTAAGTATGTTTAAAATTGTTCTTTATTTTGAAAGCAATTGCTAACAGAAGTTTATGTTGACCAAAGTTGATATTTATTAAGTCTTGGGAAAAATGTCTTTCCAGGTGCAAGCTAATAATTTAACATACTCTGAGCGTATTTAGAAAATTTAACATACTCTGAGCATGAACTGCTTGAAGATTCAGTTATAATTGTTATAAGACGTTCACATACCAGATTGTTGTAATATCTCTTTGTGTTGAAAAGCTCTTTTGAAATGTTTTGCCAAGCCTTTATCCATTACAAAATCAGAACTGACACAGTCCATTAAACTTGAGCCAAATTTGTCAGCCTGAAGAATAATTTTGTCGGCAGTGCAAGGACCAGAAGTGTATTCTATCAAAGTGAAGTCATTCTGAAAAAGATAAAAATTCATTTTCAGTTGAGTGTGATATAATCAGGGGCAGCTTATAGCGTTATTAGTGTTATTAGTCTAATAACAGTTTTTTTCCGAAGCTACAGGCTTGTAGTTGCCGTCATTGTTTATTTTCATTTCTAATAACACAAATTGCCATTTCCTTTGCTTTAGCTCTGTGAATGTGACTATTCGTCATAGAAAACAGGGAATAAGGCCATCGTATTTTGCTCGCATGTTATTAGCCTCCTCAGTCTAATAATGCATTTTAGGATATCAGCCACTTACTTTGTGAAACAAAATTGCAAACAAAATAACTATCATAATTCAAACTTGTTCTGTGCACTGGGTTGTTTCTCAAGATTTTCTCTGGTATAAGTCTAACGCATGAACCACTTTTTTGCTTATAAACGATGGCCAACCGAAAGACTTGGGTTGGCATCCCATGGATTTGCAGGGAAGAAATAAAAAAAATATTATTTGTTGGCCATGTCTTGTGTTGGGAAGTTTTCAGAAGGTTATATTATCAAGTCTTTTTAAAAGTATTGTTTAGAGCTCTATTATATCCAGGATGGTCTGTTTTTTCCATGACTTTGATGGCCCCGTTATTAAAAAGCCATTTCTAATAACGCAGTAAGCGAAATGTTGCTGGGGCCCCATTGATAAAACCCATGAGGCATTGAAGGTCAGCCGGGCCCTTAGAACGCATTGCTGTAGCAGCCCATTCCAGTGCAATCAAGGCGCTGTTTTTGAAGTTGGCTTGAAATGAATTGAGGAGTAGTTTTTAATTACATTTTGTTTGGCTATCAAAACCACCACTATAACTATGCCCTGTGTACATTATTTTTCTTTTTTGACAAGAAAACAGACTCAACATATCAGGGGTTTGAAAGCCCAAATTCCCAAACAAAAACGCAGTTGGGGGGAGCCCTCCATGTCATAGTTTCTGCCACTGCTTGGCTGACTAACAGCAGTTTATTTCTGGTGCCAGCTGCCCCTGGACATAATGAAAGCATATGAACGAATGTCTTGTGCCTCTTTCATGGGCAAGGCTAATATACCAACAACAATTCCAAACTGAAAATTGGAGCAGCATGTACTTTTTAATCTAGAATAAGCCAATACAAACAACAAAGTTTAACTAAAATGGAAAGTACATCAGAACAGTTGTTTGATTCGAGGAAGTTGATATGAATAGTAAATATTTTCTTAACCAGGTACCACATTGGGTCCTCACAATAACCATCATGCATATCTTCAATTTAGGCAATTAAAATCTTCTAATGAATTGAATATTACTCTAATTTAATTGCCTCACTCAGTGGGTTCTGATTAAAAAATTTTTTCCCAGTATTTCACTTGCTAAGCTGTGCAAAACCCAGAGGTGTATTCTATCAACCCTTTGAAGGCCAGATTTGCTAGTCATGTAAATGTCATATGAAACAGTGCAAATTCTTTAAATGGCATTACCTCGACATAATAGATATTGTCTATTGAATATTCATCTTCCTTTTCAGAATTATATCTGATCAGTGCAACCAAATCTTTAGAACAACATTGAAGTAGGTTGAACAAAATTTAAATTGAGATATAGCTGATCTTTTTAATTGACTCATGTTGCATGGCAAGACAGTATGAAATACCAAAATTCAGTTACATACAAAACTTCATCCAAAATACATTGAACACAAAGAAATTGTTAACCGTTTTGAATTCTGTATTAACTGTGAAGTTTGGGTCCAAATGTGCTTCAATTCTTGATCAATGAAAACTTATTTCATTCCTGATATCTTATAGGCATTGAGTTAATTTTGTTAATTTAAAAGTGGTAATTTTCAATTTCAGTTATGCTACAATGATGAATATTCTAATGTCTTTCAATTAGAAACTTGCCTCAGAGGTTTTATTACATTTATTAAAGCAACAGTTTTCTGCAAGGTCACGCAACACTTTTGAGGCAAGCAAAAGTACATTTGCAGTAAACCTTTGGTTCCAGTTTTTCTACTCTATGCAAGTCAATTCATGAAAAACACTGTAAAAACATTCATTGTTTTTGGTGCTGTCTACCAGAAGTGTTATTGTAGCTTCTATTTCTGAAAGGGCAACAGCCTCCCTAAGCTTAAAAAAGGGACATTTTAATTTCTTTGTGTTTAATTTATTTATGTATATTCTTGCAGATGTATTGCTTTTTTCTTAGGGGTGCAGTACTTCCCCCAGTAGGAGGTCAAGTGGTCAGTAATGTTGATCCTTATATGAAAACTCTATTTTTGAGTAGAAATGGTAGTTTTTTTAATCCAAATGGGGGCTGATGCTGGATAGCCTTAGTTCTTCAAAAACTTAAAGGAAAGAGTGCTCTAACTATGTGATCAAACTATCAGAGGGTTAAGTTGATAAGACAAGACAAATTTTACTGTTAAACAGCAGTAGACTTTTTATGATGCGATTGTTGGTTTTCTAATGGGCGCATGTCAGATTGCAAAATTTGGTCTTTGCCAGGAAAGATTCACCATGCAATAATATCCTTCATTAGGTCAGCGCATTATTGAGGATCTGCAGTAGATTCACAGGATAGTTGTGAATATTCCACCATTTAAGCTTCTGACTTCTGATACCAAGAAAAAACAAAGAATACAAGGTCTCTTCAAAAGATTCTGTGCACAATTTCCTGGGAAACGTTTGTCATCTGCAAATATAAAAATTATTGTTCTGGTGTTCCCCGCACAGAAAAAATACTTTACAGTCTGGAGCCTGACACGAAAGGTCTCTAATAACACATACTTACAATGTTCTTGTTCCTAATATATTGAAATGGTTCCTAATATAGTCTCAGCTTGGTACCAATTTATTGAAACCGAAAGCAGTTCTGATTTAGATGGATTCAAACTGGAACAAATGGAGCATATGTAAACGAGTCTTCATAAGCTATTCTTGATTTATAATTTGGAGCACATTTATTATGACCTTACCTTTTTTACATCTTCCTTTTGTTTTAAATTCAATCCGCTTGCAGCAGTAGCTTGAGCTGAAAAATATCAACAGATGGTTTCATAGGTTTCATGGTATTTAATTGGACCCTACCAAATTAAATATCAATCATGTCGTTACATTTAGAGCCGTTAATATTTGATGTCGAAAATGAAACGGAAACCAGAGCGCGCAATGTTAATCATAATTTGTCTGTAAATATCCTTTTACATTAATAACAAAAGAAAAATACTTGATTTTTCTAGCTTAGTAATTAACTTTCATTGACTTAGGACTTTATCTCCAATCTGTGACAAACTGACATCCCCTCAAACTAGAAAAATGTTGTACAACTCTTACAAGAGTTACTGCACAAATTCTTCAGAACCGTGTCAAGTAACTGAGCTCTACATGCACTGTGAAATGGCTTCCCGCTCAATCTGCACAGAACATAGGCGGCCATCTTCCTTCAGCAAGGCAGAGAAGTCTCATTTTGGTGTCGAGACATTTTTAAAATGCTAGCAAACCTCATTAGTCAAACCATCGTCTTTGAGTTTGGAGCTGCTACTTTTAAACTAGCAGGCCCTAAAATACAATGTTTCAAATGGTTCGTGGCAATTTTTTTCTTTCTTCGACCCAGAAGCTGCTATCTGAGTTAAAATGGGCGCGACAAGCAACAACGGCAGGGTCTGCTGCTTCCCATATGATGAAAGGTAAGTCAGGCAGCAGCAGAGTATCACAACAAAACATTAAATAACCACTTGAAGAAAGTCTGTACAATCATCTAACCTTTATGTTCTAATTTACCGCGTACCATTCAGCACCAGATTCATCCCCAGATTCATCCCCAGATTCGAAAACTTGCTTGTACTGCTCGAAATGTATCGAAATGACAATGATTAGCAAGAAAATATGTTATTTCCAGAGTTTCCTTTCTATTTTCACTCGATAAAAATTTTTTCTTGCCAATTTATTCTTGACGTTTTTAGCGGGCCTAGGCATGCGTATTTTCCATCCCCAGATTCGCGTTTTGTATAATATGGGTCTAATAACAGCATGAGAGGTGTCAAAATGACAATAATTCGAGAGAATATGTAGCAATATGCGGTTTTCCGTCAATTTCTACTAGATAAATGTCACTTTTCTACCACTTTGTTTCCAATGTTGCTTGTTGGCCTAGGCAGTACTTTTCATCCCCAGATTCGCGGCCACAGGGATACCAAACGACCACAGGGATACCATTGCCAATATTTTTCCATCCCCAGATAGGTGTATCCCCAGATTCGCGTTTTGTATAATATGGGTCTAAAAACAGCATGAGATGTGTCAAAATGACAATAATTCGAGAGAATGTGTAGCAATATTACGATTGAAAATATATACGATTATAATGTTTGATTTAATTCTTTTTTTAAATATTAATGTATTTTAACCAAAATGTTGATTAGTTTATGTAATTGCGGTAACTGAGCCTTGTTTTATAATCAGTTTTGTATATAATTCCCAGTTTTGTTACGTTTTGTATATAATTATAATAGATACATCAGTACAAACAATTTATAATTATAATAGATACATTAGTACAAGCAGTTTCAATCGTAATATTGCTACACATTCTCTCGAATTATTGTCATTTTGACACATCTCATGCTGTTTTTAGACCCATATTATACAAAACGCGAATCTGGGGATACACCTATCTGGGGATGGAAAAATATTCGCAATGGTATCCCTGTGGTCGTTTGGTATCCCTGTGGCCGCGAATCTGGGGATGAAAAGTACTGCCTAGGCCAACAAGCAACATTGGAAACAAAGTGGTAGAAAAGTGACATTTATCTATTAGAAATTGACGGAAAACCGCATATTGCTACATATTCTCTCGAATTATTGTCATTTTGACACCTCTCATGCTGTTATTAGACCCATATTATACAAAACGCGAATCTGGGGATGAATCTGGGGATGGAAAATACGCATGCCTAGGCCCGCTAAAAACGTCAAGAATAAATTGGCAAGAAAAAATTTTTATCGAGTGGAAATAGAAAGGAAACTCTGGAAATAACATATTTTCTTGCTAATCATTGTCATTTCGATACATTTCGAGCAGTACAAGCAAGTTTTCGAATCTGGGGATGAATCTGGGGATGAATCTGGGGATGAATCTGGTGCTGAATGGTACGCGGTTTCTAATTTTTGTTACTTTTTGTTTGACATGAAAGCAGTTTTTCTTCAGTTTGCAAAGTTATATCAATTCACTTAACATTTACATTTAACAACATGTGAAACAAAGAAGTGATCATCCAATCCAACATGCCTGGCTTGTCAAGAATTGTGTGCAAACGGCCTAATAGATATGGGTATAAATAAAGCGTTGGTCAGATCTTTTTTCTTTGAACAAACTCTACACAACATTTCAAAACATATGAAAGAAAGGCTGATTGTTTTTAGATTTAATTTGTATAACCATGGAAAGTATGAACCTGGTATGCCACCCAGAGTGCAAAGTATTTTTTGTGCGCGGGGAATTATTTTCTGTCGCTTACGCTTGCGCGGGAACAAATCATGTTGCAAAATGACAGGTTAAAATCTCTGGGATTTTTTTTAAATAGCATATTTAGGGCTCGAGATTAGGTTATGTGCGGAATTCACACAAAAATCCATGTTCCAACTGCTTGGATTAATCTAAATTTGCAAAAATGCGTGGACAGGATTTGAGCAAAAAATTATTGCGCGTTCCCAGCGCATACCCAAACTTTGCAGTCTGGTACGCCACATTTGTACGCCATAGATAATCCATCATGCGCCAAGTAGCACCGTTACTCCACTCCATCCACTCTACCAAATTTTAACTTCATGCAAACAGGCTCGCACTGACATTTTTAGGGCTTTGGGCCCAGGTATTTACGAGGCATAAGCTTTGCCTCTTGGACTCTAAAAAATCAATCAATGAGTCGAACAAATACATTTTTACCATGTGTACAAGAAATCAGAATTTATTTGCTTAACATTTTATGCTTAATGAGTATGTGTCCTTTATCATAAAAAAACGTCTCGATATTCCTACTACCCGAGGCGGCACCATGGTTGCCGCAGAAGGGTAAGAAAATTTTCAAATATGAGTGATTCCAGTTCACTGGAAAATGCACTCTTGGTCTACTGCCTTACAGTGCTGCACAGCAGAAGGTGCGGCCCTGTATGCAAACCCATTAAATGTACGAGGAATTATTTTCTGCTGCTTGCACAGGGGTACAAATAATGTTGCAGTAAAGAAGGTTAAGAGTTGCAAGATTTTATTCTTAAATAGCATTTGCAAGCCTAATTTCCCCTGGTGCATACCTAAAAATTTGCAGTCTGGTGCTTATCCAACAGTATCCTGGTCCCACTGTATCCTGGTCTCTCAATGTAACCACACCTCATGATTCCTACAACGGGAAAATTAGAAAGTTGATGATTCCCCTCACTCCCAGTGAAAATTTGGTCATGTCAGGGGCTCACACCACAGACCCTTGGATCTGTAGTCATTGACCCTAACAACTGAGCCTTCTTCTACATCAATTTTTTATGACATGCAGCTGTACTTATAGGTCCCAGTCTGCACTGTAAAGCAGCTCTCCAAGTGAACTTGCAGTCATTTCAAGCATGTTTTCTGCATGCAAACTTCCCTTTATAATTCATTTGGCTTACAAAAAGAAGTTTTTTGTAATGTTGGATGCAAACAGAAATTTGACAGATTTTATGTTAATGACTGAGCTTGACATTTTTATTGGTAGCATAGAATTAACTATTTTGTCAAAAATAATTTTGATTTTCATTATGCAACAGGATTTTTCTGTTAAACTCATCAGTTATAACTCAATTTGTTCTTTTAGCTAATCATCAAAGGGCAGGAGGAAGGTCAAAAGTTAAGGTGTATAGAAATAAAAGAAAGGTAAAATTAGAATTATATTTGAAAATATATAGATGATATTGAAAAATCAAATTCTTTAGCTTTATTTATGTAGGTATCAGGAAGCAGGGTTGAATTTATGAAAAGCAAAATTCCCCCATAAATGTAGATAACCTCTTTTTTATCTCCTTAAGAAAATATAAACAAGTTGTGAAAGCTTATTTCTTTTCCAATTGTTGAAAAGCATGACCAATGTAATATCCTCTGTATATAAGATTCAAGGCTCAGGTAATGGTAAAAAGATGCTCGTATTTCATTTTAAACTTGTTATTCTGAGTCACAGACTACAACTTACAATGGAATCATATTGCTGTAAACAACTTAACTAAAGGTGTGAAAATCCATTGACCCTTAATATAACACAATTTATGACAGCCAATCTTCTTAGGATGAAGCCACAAACTAAGGTAAAAAAATCAAGCCAGATGGGAAACATTGTTACTTATGCAGCAAGTCAGCTTGGGACATCTTTTATGCAGTCTGAACCTAAACTCAGAAAATTTGCCTAGTCAATATTTTGTATTTTATGGCCAAGATGTTTAATGCTAAATAAAGCTCAAATACCAATAACATTGTGTAATTCTGTCACGTTATGCATGTTTGTGATATTTGCACTGCCAGTTTAAAGTAGCTGCTGTGCATTCTTAAAACTGTACACTGCACTAAGAATTAGGTAAAATATATCTAGTGTGTGATGGAAAAAGTGTCCAGTCTTAATTATCAAGCATCAAAGATATTTAGATTTTCTGGTTTTTTCTAGAATCTTACAAAAGCAGAAAGGATTGTGCCTGAAAAAGCAGACTGGCCAAGCATCTTTGCTGTTGCCCAATCATTCAATCCAGCAATTGTCCCATTGCCAATACGCATGGGTAGGGCCCGTCCAAACAGAATTGGTGACATTCCTCCGGTTGCTCAAGGAAATATAGAGCTGCTCAAGGTATAGCATCTACATTAGTGTAGGCATTCTTATTTCATATGCAGTGCCATTGTAATCAAGGGGGGCTAGAGGGGGCCAGGACCAAAGCTCTCCCCCAATAATTGTAAAACTTTACTATAATCCTTTATAACAGTGCACTGAATGTGAAGAAATACAATGGACAGCCCCCCCCCCCCAATATGAATTGTGTTCCAACACCACTGATATGAATCTAATAATTTTTATTGCCTGAAACAAGGTTATTCTGTATCTACTAAATCTTAGATTGTAACCTGAAACCATTCTTAAATCAGTAGTAGTTTTTATCTTTTATTTATTTATTTTTAAATTAATTTTATCTAAAGCTTTAAGTAATTTTATTTATTTTACTTTTAATGGAAAGTATGACACAGTTTCCTATATAGCATCTGTTTCCGCTGATAGGGCTACCATGTGTAAATGAAAAGAAATTGCTTATCTCACCTTATTTTCCATCTTTTCAGTGCTTTTATCTGTCAATATATTAATTTTTAGCAATATTTGATGGAAAATATACTAGATATGTTTTACTTTTTCAATAGATTCCAAATTTTTTCCACCTTACTCCACCTGCTATTCAAAGACATTGTGAAGCTCTCAAAAGTAAGTTTTACTAGCCAAACAATCATTACAAAGTATTCAATTTACCAAAAATTAATTGATGCACTTACACAATTTCTCTTAAACATGGATAATTTGTTAAATCTAAGGTTGGGTAATAAAAAGAGGATTCATATTCTTAAAAAAACTTTACATTTTTTCTGAAAATTGGTTTTTAACATGTTGCAAAGACAAAGGGTATATGACCTTTAATTTTGAGTGAGAAACCTTTTTTACTTCAATGCCAGCCAATTGTTGTACAGATTCTTCCTCCCTTGAGTGTAACAGTGCTCTAGGTAATGGCTTTTTGTTGCAGTGGCCCCAGGAAAATTTCCAGTCGCAGATGGTGCCACTCCCAATTTGCTTAAAACCGTGGATATAGAGGAAAAGGTTTTTGAAGTAATCAATATTTGTCAAAAAAATTTGTGTCAATAAGACTACATCTAGAAGCTGTTTAAATCTATTTTGCAGATTTTAATAGGCACTTTATAAGAAAAATTTCACAATAGCAGAATCATAACTGATAATTTTTTAACAGCCTACTGCACACCGTGGCCAGAAGATATTGGCAACAAGCCAGTCAGAATTGTAACAAATAATTACATATATTCTGGTCCGTCAATTCGACATCCAGCTTCCAAGAAAGTCACTTTGAAGGTTAGTAAATGCACGTTAAATTCCAAGTTTAGTCCCCCCTCCGAATATAGTCCCACTTGAATGTATGCACCATATTTCTGAGAGGTTAACTCACTTTTAAATATATGCCCCACCCTCCCCCCCCCCCCCCCCTCCCCAAATATATTAAGAATCTACTGAAGCAGCAACATTTTCTCTCTTCAACACGGTTCAAGCCATTACAGAGACGAAGTACCGAAACACAGAGTTCAATTATACAGTTTTTCTGTCTAGTGCAATTCTAGTGCATAGATAAGATAATCTCCCTGAGTATGCTATTACAAATGTAGAATATGAGCTCTAAAGTGACAAATGAAGAGAGTAATGAATATGGTATCGGAGAGGAAAATTATTCTGTAATATCATAACTCCAAAACAAATGAAAAGTTTTGATACAATATTCAATCTGAAGATGTCATAAACGAATCTGCTTTGATAATTATCAACATTTTTGCTCCAATCTCAAATTAGAACTTGAAACCTTTTATTACCATTTGTGTTTTATTTCTTTACTTTTGAGATTAACTGAAATCCAATAATAATCCCCCGAATGTAGTCCCCCTAAATATACGAACCACCTTAAAAATCTTTATAAGCCCCAGAGTCGTTTTACGGTTACGTGATTTCACTTACTATTTTTATTTCAAAAATTCGATCTGTTTAGGAGACAGAAAATTTCACCATAGTTTGTGATATCTTTGGCCACTTTTTCTTCTTGTTAAAACGTAGATTGCGATGTTTTCCCTTACAATCAGCCCAAACGCTGCATAATATACCCCCAAAATTCTACATGCATGTATTGATGGGCCATGACTACGTCACCACTGCACTTTCCTCTGTGTTGTATTTTGCTTTTCCCTATCATGAATGCTTTCCCAGGTTGTATATTCCAATGACTGTTGAAAATGATATAATTTACATTTTAAAGTTCTTATAGCCAAATTCGTTTATTTGTTTCTGATAAGTATTTTGTTATTTGATAATCTGTTTTTTCAGGTTTACCTGAAGGACTTAGATCTTGACGATCATGCCAGAACAAAAATGATTCTACTTGCTGGTCCTGAGAGATACTGTAAAAATACAGATGAGCTATCAATCAGCGAAGACAGGTAGGTCTTTACCATTTTGCTTGCAACATATTTTTCTATAATATTGGTATGCTTTTACAATATAATTCTGGATTTCAATTAAGATTATGTATGCCAAAACAGAGTAATTTGTATTAATGATATTTCAAACATTATCTCATTCACCCTTTTTTCTAAATACAATTTTTTTCTAATTAAAAGTTGCCTGACATTGTATGACATATACTCTATTATATTAATGACATGACAATGATTGTTAACTGCCTGGATTAATCTCGTGCTTCATGAAAATTTATGTTTATCTGTCTGTCATAGAGTGCTCAATACTGTATTGGCAGAGCTGCATAGTTTTTTGTGTATATAACAAGATGGTTTTAAGTTGCCTCTCAGAGTTTCACGCTCTAAAAGTATTAAGCGTGAAATTCGGGGTAGCAACTTACCGTGGCGGATTCAAGAGGGGCAACTAGCGGCAGTTGCCCCTCCTTCAACGAATTGAAGCAAGTCTGGCGCCCCTTTTTTGGAAATTATGCGCCCCTTTTGAAGAACGAGAATCAAGTGATTACTTCAAAGGATTACTTTGCTTCAAGGATTATTTAATTTGCTTTGCTTCAAGGTTAATTTGCTTCAAGGATTACTTCAAAGTTATGTTGTTTATTCAGAAAATGGATCTGAAATTGTTGTATACAGCGAACTCTCGTCACCAATTTTTGCAAATTTTTTAGCGCCTCCACTACCAACTGCCCCTCCTTCAAATTTGCTCTGGATCCGCCCCTGGCAACTTAGAACCGTCTTGTTCTATACACCAAATTGTGTAAATCTTATATTAACGTATTTGTATATATATCTAAGTGTTCAACAATTTTGTTTAAAGCTGCTACTCCGAGTGAACATTTCACATTGAACACTATTTGATCCGATTGTAGGATGAAAATTCATGAATAAAGCAAAAGATTTCATTTTAAAATCAGTTTCTTTTTAAATCACAAATACTTCATTTTTCTAGGTGTCCAACAAGGCAACAGAACAAAGAATACGCTTTTTATCTTTTAGCAGCTTTGTATCAAGAATCTTGGGTATGTGGTTGACTAAATTATATTTCATCTTCAATTTTCAAGATAGATTACTTAGCAATTTATTTTGTTCTAAACAGGCCTGGTCATTTGAGGAGAGCCATAGCTTTTGCTCCCCTCCAGGGTCTCTTCAAATGCTGGAGGGGAGCTACAGATTGCTCTCCTAAATTGCTTTTGAAAAGCAAATTGCTCTCCTTGATATAAATTTTTTCTTTGTTTATGTTTTTATTTATCTAGAATTAGCTCACCTTTAGATTACTAGGGGAGCTGTTTACTGCTCCCTTGCTAACAGTCTTATGACCAAGGCTGTCTAAACTTGCTTACACAATTTCTCAAAATTTTAAAGTGTTTGGTCCCATAAGTATGATTTCTAAACCCCATTATCGTAAATTATAAAAATAATTTCATATATTTACCTGTTATTATTTTTGGTTCCTGTAAGTATCATTTGGAGTTTGGAATGATTTTTGAGGATGAAAAGTTTTGAATCTATATTTATTCACTATTTTTTTAGAAAACTGAAGATTGGGAAAATGAAAAGCCTGAAGAACTAGCATTATATGATCTACAAGAAAGAATATCTGATTTGCTGAAATCCCCGATAAAACTGAAAGAAAAACTGATAATTCGAAGGAACCAGAAACGACCTATCAATGGCCAACTCATACGTTTCAATCGCCATGGTAAAGCATTTGTCGTCGAAAATAGAAAATATGGAATTTATGGGCCTCCTTCAGAGGTCGATAAAGTTGCTATCGCGGAGGAATGGGAGAAGATTAAGTCATAATGTGCAGTCACTAAAGAAATTAATCTGGCAAAATTGTTTCTAGACTCAATAGTTGTTGATGCAGATATTGAAGATATAGTTCGATTTTTTATCAGTTACTTCAGTATTGCTCATCAATGCGATATTAGGATTACGTAAGAATTGGAAGTTGGAAGTTTTTCTATCTGCATCTTGTATCATTTCATCATTATCATTAGGTATTTAAATACAATAATGGGGGTGTGTAGGGCTCTGCATAAAATCAATCTATTGTGAGATAATTTCTTCCCGATGCTTTAATACTGTTCTAATATATGCTCAGTTAAGAGGCATTGTCGATTTAATTTAATTTCATTTTTACTTCTATATACGATAGGCCCATCACCCAAGAGCCTTACAGGCTGCCGTGTCAAGCTTTACAACAATATTAGACAAAAATAAATTAATTAAAATCTGATAAGATATTTACAATAAAAACTAAGAAAATACAGAGTTATGTTATGAAGGTATCAAAAATCTTGCCACCCACCAAGTAGTACTTTTCCGACAAGTACTACATGAAAGAAGTTCGTCTTGTCAGCCACTCTGATTTATTAAGTTCCCGTAGTTGCATTAGAATTTCTATCAATGCAACATGAGGTACGCAGCCAAAATGCTGGACTTTCTACTTATAAATAAAAATGATATATTGGATACACCCTTGAGCCTATCTTCACTTTTTCGTTGTTCAACATGCTTACTTCCTAGAAAGCAGAAACAGTTTTTCAGAATGTAAAAGATTTGATACTTGATATTCAACCGCTTCGTTTTGATTTGCAGCAGATTGAATCAAACTAAGTTTTTACCTGTGTTTTCGGTTTTCTGTTTTACCGTGTTTATATCTGGCTTTCAAACAACTATTGGGAAAATGGAATAGTATTGATGCATGATGTAACCAGACAAATCAAGAAAGGTACAACCAGTCTTGTAAAACCAAACGCAGTGAGTATTCAATGGGAAAATAAAGCAGACACAAAGAACAAAGCTTTCAACAAAATAGGAATATAATAGAAAGATTTATAAATGTTTTACAAAGTCATATTTTGACTGAATGAAAAAACTACTACTACTAAACTGTTAGTGGAGAAATGTTTGTTTTCTATTCTGATTCCCGTCTAAAGAATCTGGCGAACCGGCTTCTTTTCGGCTTCTTCTTCTTTTCGATAATCTGGTGTAAAGCACAGATTATATTTTCAGCTTCCTGGTTTTTCTCAATCGCATTCTCAAGAATTACTTCCAGTTTCTTTTTCTCGGAAATATATTCCTCTAACTTCGTTTCGTACATAAATCGCATCTCCATTTCACCCTCTAGATCCTTCAGATCTTCTTCTTTTTTCTCTTGTAAAACTCTGACTTCTTCTAAAATTGCTTGGATATCATCCTGAAACTTCTCCTGGACATTGGCCATGTCTGTCTTTGACTCAATCAATTTTCTTTCGCATTCTTCATATCCCTTCTCTTCCTTTTCAAGTCTTTTCTGGATCATCTCTTTACATATCAATGCAACCTTTAGCTTCCTTTGGCAATTAGCATGAAGGACTTTCTTTTCTTCAAACTCCTTCAGAAGCGTGAAATGTTCACATTTGACTGAGTCTAATTCTTTTCTTTGAACATTCAAGGCTGTTCTAAAACTCTTGGCCTTATCTGCTTCCTCTCTCAAGCCTTCCACTTCATCTAGCATGCGCATATTGTCTTGCATTTCATGCTTGTATGCTTTTTCTAATTCATCTTTTTGTTTTCTTATCTCTTCGTTGTTACATTGAAGCAAATCGACTTGCAGTTCAAGCTCCAAATTCTTACCTGCCAAAGCATCTATACAACTCTTCGCAATATTACCTTTTGCAACACAAGCAGCAAGTTTAGCACGAATGCCTTTAAACTTCTTTTCCAATCGTTTTCTTTGTACACGTTTCGCTGCGACAATGGTTCTTCTTTCCATGGAGCGCATCGCTTTTGCTTTCTGCTCTGTCTTTTTAACAGTGGCAAAAAGCTTACCACACATTTGACTCCATGTTGACAATTGGCCTTGCATTTCTTTTTCATTTTCAACAGCTTCTTGAAGTTTGCTTTTCAATTTGATATTCACTTCTTTTGATTGCTCAGAATCTTCCTTTGTGAATTTTTGCTCGAATTCCAAGAACTCGACGAGACTTTTCAATTCTTTGGTTTCTTCTTTAAGATCCTCGTTGTCCTTTTTTATATCCAAAATTTTGCTCTCAACATCTTGGAACATTTTAAATTTCCTTCCAACAACACCATAGCCATCCTGAGAATCGATATCTTCGTCAATGTTTAGATGTTTAGCTATTTTGACAAAAAACCCTTGCATCAATTCCAGCTCTTCAACTTGGTTGGAGTAGTCCTGCAAGTTTGTCTTCTCACCCCATTCATTTTGATGAAATTCCAGAATAACAGACCCACCATCAGAATTCCCTTCATTTACCTCCTCTACATTCTGCATTTCCCATTCTTCCTCCCCTGTAAGGGTCTTTTCATCGTCATCTTTCTCATCTAAGTCAATAACTAGGTTGTCCTCGACTTGACTCTCCAGGTTTTTTATCCGCATTTCCAAGATGTTCACTTCTGTTGTCTTTGCTTCAACATCATTAGCAAGCAGAGAGCCTTTCTTTCCAAGCTCTTGATTCTCCATAGACAACAGCTTTACCACTTCCTTCAATCGGATATTTTCTTCCAAAAGGCTCTTGTTCAAAGACGAATTCCCCTGCAAGAAAAAAATTAGCTTGTTTTTTAACATGAACGTAAATCCTCAATATGTCATTGTAAGCTATATCGTTTGAGTGCCTTATTGAAGAATCTTTTGTTTGCTGTATCGTTTGAGCGGTTTATTAGAAAAAGCTCTTTTCTCTACAAATCAACTTAACATTTAGTCAAGACATCTTTTTATATAAGGCTTAATGCACAGGGAGAACCACGTCATCAGCTGAGTCTTACATATGTATATGCCCAATAAACGATTAACACTTTCAGTGGTATGAAATTTAAAGCTATGCAACCCGACCGCATACCTCCATTGCTTCTTCAAGTGGCATATCTTTCTGTTTTGATTCAAAATGCTTCTCATTTAGTGCACCCAATTCCTGCTCCTTTTCTTTCAGACGATTTGCCATCACGAAGCACTCATAATCAAGTTGCTTTTTATCGCTAAGTGCCAAAGCAAGCCTTTCTGTCATCTCTCTATTTTCTGAGATGAGATTCCTCATCCAATTGGTACTTGGGAGCTCCTTTCGCTGTCTCAATTCCTCCAGTTGGATTATTGCTTAATGTAAAAAGCATTAAAATTAACTTTGTAACAGTACAACCACATAAAACGCCGTAATACTTTGAAATACTCTCTTCTCTCAAGAGCCTCAATTAATTAAAAACCATACATTTTTTGTAAGTTTACATTCTCGAAAAGAAAAGTGCATAGGTTAAGTAAAATACGATCTTTTCAGCAAAAACTGGCAGACTAGAAAGTAAACTGTCTTTAAAATAATGAAAGCAGACATCTAGACAAAATTCATTTGAAGTTGAGGCAAATATTCTGTAGAATAAAGAACTTAAGTCATTGAACGTTCTACTGCTAAACCTTTCAAAATCAAACTGAGATACAAATTTTGCTGGATACAATTTAAGTTGATTTTATCCCCCTGTTTCTTCAATCCTACCAAATCCTGCTTGAATTGAATTTATGTATAGTTGAAAATTATAAAATCATTCTAAAAGTACTGTTTAGTTACTTAATAAGACAGTAAAAGTCTGTTATGCTTACAGTTTTGTACAACATCTTCCAGGTGCTCCAATCTTTCTCTTATATCCTCAATCTCCTTATCTTCGATATCTAACTGGCGCTGTTGCAGCTCTGTTTCTCGTACAATGGCGTCCATACTCGTTAAAGCAACACCACTGTCCGACCTTAAAAGGTTTAGAAAACTACCGCTTTCCAGTTTTTCATCCATAATTGCCAAATTTTTCGTACGAACAATCACCTTCGACCTGCTCTCACTCAACCGTCAAGGTTATGGCAAACCTAACTCTCAGCTCAACTTATTTATGTGGCACAAAGTGAGTGTGACGTCAGATTAATGTGACGTGTGATATCGAGGACTGCAATACAGTTCATCAAAATCTCAATTGATTGATTTTTAATATTATGGAGAGATTTTCACTTATAGTTTCTAGAGAGATTTCCAACATTTAAGCATTGTTTTAATAAATTCATGTTATTTTCATTTTCTATTCAGACCTATACGATGAACTGATTGAGTCCTAATTCCATCATTTAGTTAGCATTTGTCAAGATTTTTTATGAAAGTGCGTGTGTAAAGGATAAAAAAATATATGTACTATAAGGATCTACAAAAATCCACTTAAATAGATGGAATTTCAAAGGTTTAGCTTTTAAATATGACAACTAATAGAGAATAATTATATTAAATATATCTGCCATACCCTATCAGTTCTAGTTCTCGTCACAGCATACTTCCTTTATTTTAATGATTCAATTAAGCAAGTTTGTATTTACTTGGCAAGATTGGGACAGAAATTGAAAAAAAGACTGCTCTTCAACGAAATGCAACATTAATTGCAAAAATGAATCAAAGAAAATATGTTACTAAAAAAGGATATATACATTGAGCCAAAATCGCAAATAAATAATATTAATGAAACCACCAATAATTAGAACAAGGAAAAATATTCGCTGTCCTTATGTTAATTTTACTTTCAAAAGAGAGCAACAGCCAAAAGAAAGAAAAATGATTTTGCTCGACAAGAAAAGCGTGTCACACTTAAAGGGTAGTAGAGCATAACCAGCATGTAAGAGTATTATCTTTCACACTTAAGTTGTGACACCTTTCTTCCAAACACTTCTTGTTCCTTTTGAACAATTAAGGACAGCATATTTTATCCTTTTCTATTATTGGTGTTTATTATTTATTATTTTGCGATTTTGCATCATGTTAAATATACCCTTTTAGTAACCATTATATATTTCTTTGATTCCATTTTTGCAATACAGTTGCATTTCGTTGAAAGAGCAGTCTTTTTTCACATTCTGTCCCAATCTTGCCAGTAAATACAACTTGCTTAATTGAATCATTAAAATCAAAGGAAGTATGCTGTGCTTGAGAGAACTGATAGGGTATGGCAGATATATTTAATATAATTATTCTCTATTAGTTGTTCATAATTAAAAGCTAAAACCTTTTTGAAATTCCATCTATTTAAGTGGATTTGGTAGATCCTTATAGTACATATTATTTTTTTTATCTTTACACACGCACTTTCATAAAAAATCTTGACAAATGCTTAACTAAAATGATGGAATTAGGACTCAATCAGTTCATCGTTATTAGGTCTGAATAGAAAAATGGAAAATAACATGAATTTTATTAAAACATGCTTAAATGTTGGAAATCTCTCTAGAAAATATAAGTGAAAATCTCTCCATAATTTAAAAATCAATCAATTGAGATTTTGATGAACTGTATTGCAGTCCTCGATATCCACGTCACATTAATCTGACGTCACACTCACTTTGTGCCACATAAATAAGTTGAGCTGAGAGTTAGGTTTGCATAACCTTGACGGTTGAGTGAGAGCAGTCGAAGTGATTGTTCGTACAAAAATTTTTGGCAATTATTGGATAAAAAACTGGAAAGCGGGTAGTTTCTAAACCTTTTAAGGTCGGACAGTGGTGTTGCTTTAACGGTATGGACGCCATTGTACGAGAAACAGAGCTGCAACAGCGCCAGTTAGATATCGAGGATAAGGAGATGAGGATATAAGAGAAAGATTGGAGCACCTGGAGATGTTGTACAAAACTGTAAGCCATAACAGACTTTTACTGTCTTATTAAGTAACTAAACAGCGTACTTTTTAGAATGATTTTATCATTTTTCAACTATACATAATTCAATTCAAGCAGGATTTGGTAGATTGAAGAAAAAAACAGGGATAAAATGCAACTTAATTGTATCCAGCAAAATTTGTTATCTCAGTTTGATTTTGAAAGGTTTAGCAGTAGAACGTTCAATGACTAAGTTCTTATTCTACAGAATATTTGCCTCAACTTAAATGAATTTTGTCTAATGTCTGCTTTCATTTATTTTAAAGACAGTTTACTTTCTAGTCTGCCAGTTTTTGCTTAATTGATCGTATATTTACTTTAACCTATGCACTTTTCTTTTCGAGAATGTAAACTTACAAAAATGTGATGGTTTTTAATTTGATTTGAGGCTCTTGAGAGAAGAGAGAATTTCAAAGTATTACGGCGTTTTATGTGGGTTGTACTTTTACAAAGTTAATTTAATGCTTTTTACATTAAGCATAATCCAACTGGAGAATTGAGACAGCGAAAGGAGCTCCCAAATACCAATTGGATGAGGAATCTCATCTCTAGAAAATAGAGAGATGACAGAAAGCGTTTCCTTGGCACTTAGCGATTAAAAAGCAACTTGATTATGAGCTTCTCGGATGGGGCAATTCCTCGATCTAAGAAGAGACAGCAAGGAATTGGGTGCACTAAATGAGAAGCATTTTGAATCAAAACAGAAAGATATGCCACTTGAAGAAGCAATGGAGGTATGCGGGTCGGGTTGCATAGCTTTAAATTTCATACCACTGAAAGCGTTAATCGTTTATTGGGCATATATACTATGTAAGACTCAGCTGATGACGTGGTTCTCCCTGTGCATTAAGCCTTATATAAAAAGATGTTCTTGACTAAATGTTAAGTTGATTTGTAGAGAAAAGAGCTTCTTTTCTAATAAACCGCTCAAACGATACAGCAAACAAAAGATTCTTCACACTAAGGCACTCAAACGATATAGCGTACAATGACATATTGAGGATTTACGTCATGTTAAAAAACCAAGCTAATTTTTTTCTTGCAGGGAATTCGTCTTTTAACAAGAGCCTTTTGGAAGAAAATATCGATTGAAGGAAGTGGTAAAGCTGTTTCTGTGGAGAATCAAGAGCTTGGAAAGAAAGGCTCTCGCTTGCTAATGATGTTGAACAAAGACAACAGAAGTGAACATCTGGAAATGCGCGATAAAAAACTGGAGAGTCAAGTCGGAGGACAACCTAGTTATTGACTTAGATGAGGAAAGATGACGATGAAAAGACCCTTACAGGGAGAAGAATGGGAAATGCAGAATGTAGAGGAGGTAAATGAAGGGAATTCTGATGGTGAGTCTGTTACTCTGGAATTTATCAAAATGAATGGGTGAGAAGACAAACTCTGCAGGGCTACTCCAACCAATTGAAGAGCTGAATTGATGCAAGGGTTTTTTGTCAAAAATAGCTAACATCTAAACATATGACAAGATATCGATTCTCAGGATGGCTATGACGTTGTTGGAAGGAAATTTAAAATGTTCCAAGAAGTTGAGAGCAAAATTTTGGATATAAAAAAGGACAACGAGGATCTTAAGAAGAAACCCAAAGAATTGAAAAGTCTCGTCGAGTTCTTGGAATTCGAGCAAAATTCACAAAGGAAGATTCTGAGCAATCAAAAGAATGAATATCAAATTGAAAAGCAAACTTCAAGAAAACTGTTTGAAAATGAAAAAGATATGCAGGCCAATTGTCATATCAATGCATGAGGTCAAATGTGTGGAAGCTGTTTTAGACTTGTTGCCACTGTGAAAGCACAGCACAAAAGCGATGCGCTCCGTGAAAAGAAACATTGTCGCAGCAAAAACGTGTACAAAGAAAACGATTGGAAAAGAAGTTTAAAGGTATTCGTGCTAAACTTACTGTTTGTGTTGCAAAAAGGTATATTGCGAAGAGTTGTATAGATGCTTTGGCAGGTAAGAATTTGGAGCTTGAACTGCAAGTCCATTGCTTCAATGTAACAACGAGAGATAAAAAAACAAAAAGATGAATTAGAAAAAGCATACAAGCTGAAATGCAAGACAAATATGCGCATGCAGATGAAGTGGAAGGCTTGAGGGAGGAAGCAGGTAAGGCCAGAGTTTATGAAACAGCCTGAATGATTCAAAGAAAAGAATTGACTCAGTCAAATGTGAACATTCACGTTCTAAAGACGTTAGAAGAAGAGAAAGTCCTTCATGCTGATTGCCAAAGAAGCTAAAAGTTGCATTGATATGTAAAGAAGATGATCCAGAAAAGACTTGAAAGGAAAGAAGAAAGGATATGAAGAATGCGAAAGAAAATTGATTGAGTCAAAGACAGA